TGGTTAACTTTCGCTGCTTCAGTTGCTTTCGCATTATCTCTCTGTTTAGTCCAACTTGGTTTCGAGAAAGTGTTGGTGAAGACAAAGAGATATGGTAATAAAAAAGTGTTTAGAATGGTCTTAGAGATGCAAATCTGTGTCTCTTTTGTCGCCACGGTTGTTTGTCTCGTGGGTATCTTTGCGAGTGGCGAGAATAAGGAACTGCAAGGCGATAGCCACAACTTTAAGAAAGGAGAAATGTATTACGTTATGAGTTTGATCGGGTTAGCATTGTCCTGGCAGGTTTGGGCGGTCGGGCTGATAGGTTTGGTGCTTTATGTTTCGGGTGTGTTTGGCGATGTGGTTCATATGTGTACTTCCCCACTTGTGGCTTTGTTTGTTGTGTTGGCATTTGATTTCATGGATGATGAGTTTAGTTGGCCTAGAATTGGTACTTTGATAGCAACACCTTTGGCTTTAGGATCTTACTTCTATACACTGCATAAGAGAAACAAAAAGAAGATGGTGGAACTTTACCAAACAGAGAACAATATTGAAGTTTAGTATCTCATGTCAAATGTATGTTTGTTTTTCAAAATATGTTCTTCTTCTGAAAACTATGTAATATATTTGTTAATAGTTTTAGTTTGAATTTTTGTATTTATTTTTGCAATACTTTGTTAATGAAGATTTTTCACTACATATTATTCCAGTAGACATTGATATATATTGTTGATCGTAGTTAAGAGAATAAACTTTGCAGCTATTAATGGGTGCCTCAAATAATAATAAGAACATAGTAATGAAATTGCCTTTCTTATCTTCAACAATGGATTACAATCAAGAACTCTAACTATCATTGAGGTTGTAGAGATCTCATAATTCCCCTCTAGCTAATTAAAAGGCTCTCTCAAAAGACTAACCCCATTAGCTTGAGCTTGTCTTCATTTGTTCTTCATTTCCTCTATTTATGTTACTTATGTGCCTATCAGTACCAACCCCATTAGCTTGAGCTTGTCTTCAAACTGATATGGATCAATCTCAACATTTCATATAAAAAAATAAGAAGAAAAAAACAGAGTTCTTCTTGTTTTTAGTCTCCTTGTGCTTATTTGTCATCTTTTCCGAATCTACTAACGGGCCAAAGGCCTCTAATTTGTTATCTCTTTTCTTTATTTAATTTGTACGACTAATGTTCCAATCAATACCATTGGTGTAGTGTTTTTTCAAGAGAAGACCAACATGAAATATCGATTATACTACAAGAGCAAGTCCATAAATTCTTGTGTTTTTTGCTTTAAGATTTGGTAATGAAGAGAGATTTGTGTAAATGAGTAAAAAGAAGAGCAATTTTGGAACTCGTTTTCAAAATTAGTTCCTTTTGTGTTTAACTATTTGTTAGCTTTATGTGCATATGTTCAGATTAGGGGAAAAGATGCTTGTTACTATATTTCTGAGATGATACATTCACTACAAGGTTCATTACTACCATTGCATGTCTTTTTCTACAATGGTGGTTTACTTAAAGATTGTCTAATATATTTAACTAAAAATTCTTTGGTTTTTCAAATTGAACAATATATGTAAATGGATTTTGGTTAAAGTTAATATAAAATAATGTTATAAAAGCTTTTAAAAAGTAGTTAAAATATATAAACATGCCGGTATTCACCTAGTAAACATAAAAATTAAGCAAATTAATTAATTTTTTTTTTGTCAAATGCAGCCTCTAAAATTGTTTTATATGATGTAGCCTTTGGCTTTTGCCCCATTTTTTACCGAGCAAGCACGGCTCTCCATGTATTTTATAAGCGTGTTCGACGCTGTTCTCCCGACTATAGAAAAATGCGAACTTCACAAGACTTGACCGTTAACCCTCCACTACAACTTTTTTCCTTTAAGGTATTTTGATTGAAAGTCTCTCTTGTCCAGAAAATTTATTAGCAGTCACTTACAGCCAACTTTTCTTGTATGTTTTTTTTTTTATTTTGGTTGTGAAAACATTTGTTATTTTTTTTCCTACATCATGGAGATCAATAAAACGATATACAACAATTCTTTACTTTGATAATTATTTATTTCGTATACCGTGTTTAATATATCAGTTTAATTTATAACTTTCTCTGTAACACCCGTCCCGCCGTATATGACAGGATTGTGTGTTATTCATCCGGTCTTGCCAAAATGTTTCTTTCTTTTAAATTCACCAACGAACAAACTTCAACCCGCAACTCACGAAACTTACTAAAAAAGGAGAAAAAGGGGTGAGTAAAACAAATTTACTCAGTGAGGAGATCAACTCTGCCCACTTGACATACAATAATCACGTTCTAAACATAATCAACAACCATTACTTAACATAGATTCAGAATGTCTATCAATCAAACAAACAAGTATTCGTCTTGCTCACAACAAGATATTTTACTTTCATTTTTAGTTTTAATTAAGTATTTTAACTTATGGATACTCGAGCCTCTTTTAATTTATGGCTACTCAAGCCTACTTATGGAAGATCACGGCCCGTACCTCGATCCTTCCCCTTATTGCTCGTCAGCGGTTAATGACATGTATATGAAGTATGAACCCGTCGGTCCATTACAGTCCAACCTCCTCGAGTATCCTTCCCATACTCTTTAGTTTTCTCTTCTCATACTCGTAATCATTTTTATAATTTAATATACGTTAAAACATGATATTAAATCATGTCAGTTATGCATTTCACATATCATGTTACTAACAACCTAACTTTATCATACACAAAAATCAACTAAGACAATTCTCGAGCCTATACTCAGTAACTATCGAAGAGTATAAAAGGAAAGAGATTACTGCATACCCGCAAATACTACCCTCACCTTAGCCTAATTGAAGATGAAGAACAACTCTCTTCTCCTTTCTCCTTTAGACAAATTACCAAACTTGATTGCAACTGCATAGTCTTGAACTCCACCTTGGTTTTCCATCAACAAAGATATATATATGAGACTAGTCTCCTGAAAATTTTGGGCTCAAACCAAGGTCGTTTACCCAAGCAACAATACAAACTCGTCACAATTTATTCTATGCAATCTGTCTCGGAAACATATGCATCAATAGCTAACCGTTACAATTGTAATTCCACCGTCGATTATCTAGCCAGTAGTATCATGAACAAGTCCACAAAGTTTCATCGCGATTGGAATAGTTTCGGACCTCCAAACGTTGCTTTGAAGAAGCCAACACGAAACTGTTTTCTAGGGTTCCAGATTTGAACAGATTCTGCAGTTACTTGTCCAGGAAGAAACATGCATAATTTCTCTAATATAACCCCGATTCAATCTCAGTCACCTGCTGTGGATTCTTGACAACGTAAGATTTCCAGAGACACCTTACACGTCAAATTATTCTCTCTGATTCGACGGAAATGAGCCTTACAAAACCCCATCTCGGATTTGTCTTAATTTGCTTCTTCCTCGTCTTTCTTCTTTCCTTTTCTTTTCTCCTCCATTTCTGATCTTCTCTGGCGTTTCTTCTCCATCACTATAGAGTCTTGCCACAGCAATGACATAACTAACCAGATCCAGCTGTGGTTCCCACCACCTTCGTGATGTCTCGATCTATCTTCTTTACTTCTATCGTCGCATGGCTCTGTTCTCAACACCAACGACTCTCGTCTGTTTCTCTCTTTGCTCTGGTTTGGTACTCGATCAATCTCTTCTTCCCTTTATCTACACGCCATACTTATTCTTTTGGTCTCGATGATGACGACGAACACTTCAACAATGCCGGCAACGTTGGCTGTGATAACTTGACAATGCCGGTGATGATGATGAACTCCAATATTGAGAGAGGCCTAGGCTTGGCGGCGCTTTTAGGTTCAACACGAACTCCCTCTCCTTGCTCTCAAAACGACCACGGTGATACCTACACATGTGTATATAGATATAGTGTATATACGTTAGCTCATCCAAACCTAACGACAGTTTTGATAATTATAAATTCCATTGGACTTTAGTGGGCTGCAAAAATAATGATGGAAAGTGGCCCAACAATAATATGCGGGAGCGGGATGTTACATTCTCTAACGATATGTATCAAGAGAGATAATAATGTTCTTTATAATATTAAAGTTCGATATTCTATAATCAACACTACTTGACATAAAATACCAAGTTGAAATAGTTGAATGAACATTCAACTAATTTTTCATCATTTGAGATGAAAAATTTGAAAAAGTATTCAACCCATTCAACTTAAAATCTCAAAAATTGAACAAATTCTACAGCAAAAATGTTCAACTCATTCAACTACAATTTTGTAGATGAATGGATTGAGTGATTTTCAACCCAATATTTTCCAGCTTAATATATTCAACCCATTCAATTTAAAACAACAAATTAAACAAACAGAAAATTGCGGTTGAATTAACCCAGGATATAAGAGTGGTTGAAAGTAGGAACTGTGCTTATGTAATTATGTCCAAAACTGATAAGTCATTTTCAAAATGATTAGTATTAACTACTCCCTCCGTATTTTAATAAGTGTCGTTTTAGAATTTTTACTTTTTTGAATTGGATGTCGTTTTCAAATTTCTATGCAAAATTTATTACTTTTTAATGTTTTATGACATCATAAAACATTAAAAAGTAAGAAATTTTGCATAGAAATTTGAAAACGACATCTAATTTTTAAAAAAAGAAAATCCTAAAACGACACTTATTAAAATACGGAGGGAGTATTAAGTTTTAGTGATCTTCTTTAATTATTAAAAAGAATGTATATCGCCGCCAAGATGGAACAAGATGAAGATGGTGGAACTTTACTACACAATGTGCACTTCTCCTCAACCATGCTCATTATTAGAAATTAACCATTAATACATATAAATCCACAGAGAATGAAATTTACATAATTTTGAAATCTTCATAAGTTGAGACGAGAAGAAAAAAAAACTCATGGAGATGACCGAAGCTTCCAAGCAGAGAACAACAGAAGAATCAGATCGCTTTCAAAATCAAGAACCAGACCAAATCTTGAGTCCAAGAAGATCGTTGAAGCTAAAACAAAAGAAATGGTGGATCTCTGTTTCTTTATGTATTTTTTTAGTCTTGCTCGGAGATTCTCTCGTCATGCTTCTCTTGAACTTCTTCTATGTTCAAGGCAATCGAGAAGAGATTCTACAATCCAAGGGAACATGGATACAAGCACTGATCCAAAACGTTGCGTTTCCTATTCTCATCCCTCTCTTCTTCATTTTCCCTAAACCAAAACAAAACCAAGAAACCAACAATACTAGATTCCTCACCTTGCGTCTCTTCTTCCTTTACTTCTCTCTTGGTGTTCTTGTTGCTGCTCACAGCAAATTGTTTGCACTCGGGAAATTATACGTCATATACGGCATCTTCACGCTGATTTCTGCGACCCAGTTGATATTTACGGCTATTTTCACAGCCATCATTAACCGTTTCAAGTTTACCAGATGGATTATCATATCGATAATCCTCACCATTTTGATTTATGTTTTCGGTAGTCCTGAATTTGGAGGAGAGCCTAATGGAAGCTTAGAATTATACAGCATCCAAGCTTTGTTAACTTACGCTGCTCCAGCTGCTTTTGCATTATCTCTTTGTTTAGTCCAACTTGGTTTTGAGAAAGTATTGGTAAAGACAAAGAGATATGGTAATAAGAAAGTGTTTAGAATGGTCTTAGAAATGCAAATCTGTGTTTCTTTTGTCGCCTCAGTTGTTTGTCTCGTGGGTTTGTTTGCGAGTGGCGAGAATAAGGAAATGAAAGGCGGTAGCCACAGATTTAAGAAAGGTGAAATGTATTACGTTCTGAGTTTGATCGGGTTGGCATTGTCGTGGCAGGTTTGGGCAGTCGGGCTGATAGGTTTGGTGCTTTATGTTTCGGGTGTGTTTGGCGATGTTGTTCATATGTGTACTTCCCCACTTGTGGCTTTGTTTGTTGTGTTGGCATTTGATTTCATGGATGATGAGTTTAGTTGGCCTAGAATTGGTGCTTTGATAGGAACATCTTTGGCTTTAGGATCTTACTTCTATTCTCTGCATAAGAGAAACAAGAAGAAGATGGTGGAGCTTTACCAAATAGAGAACAATATTGAAGTTTAGTCTCTCATGTCAAATGTATGTTTTTTTTCTTCAAAATATGTTCTTCTTCTTCTGAATCTTGAACGTCAATGTCCAAAACATGTTGTCTAGATATGAACACTATGTAATATATTTGTTAATTGTTTTAGTTTGAACTTTTTTTGTATTTTCTTTTACAATACTTTGTTAATGAAGATTTGTCACTACATATTATTCCAGTAGACATTGATATAGTTGACCGTAATTAAGAGAATAAACTTTGTAGCTATTTGGTTGCCTAAAATGATGCTAAGAACATACTTGATAAGAACAGAGCAATGAAATTGCCTTTCTTTTTTTCAAGAGTTGATGACAGTAAAAAACCCTAACTATCTTGGAGGTTCTAGAGACCAGTTGGAGGTGTTTATATCTTAGCAGTTTTAACCGGTTAGTTTACAGAATTTTTTTTGTGATTTCCATAGTTTTCTTTGCATTTTTTATTGTATTCTTGTTCCATTTGGCATTTAGAGTCTTTAGCAAATATTGCATGTTTTGGTTCATTTTGAGTTTTATTTACTTGGTACTTGGAGCACACATCATGGATGAAGCAAAGAGGAGTAAAAAGAAATGGATGCAAAACTCAAACAAGGAAGAAACAAAGACATGAAGCTGATCGGCCGACTACTTCTCCTGTAGAGGGCAGTCTTAGTTTGATGAGAAGGAGCAAAGGACCTGAAGATTCCCAGAGACAATCGACCGCCCCTGAAAATCCCATCGACAATCCTTTCCTCTAGATTTTTATTTAAATACAAGATCTTCAACATCTCATGCCACTCTAGAGAGAGATTTTTCACTCTTTTATCTTTTAGCTCTTAGCTCTTATGTGTTCTGTTCTTCATTTGGTTCTAAGAGAAACTTTGTGGTTTTTGAAGGAACATTTTAGATGTAAACTATATTTTGAGATGATTATGGTTATATATATTAAGAGCTATAAATAATCTTTATCTTCTTTTGCCTTATTTGGTTATGTTTTTCAATGTGTTTTAATTAGCATGTCAAGTGAGTAGTCTAGTCTCTATCATGAATGACAATTATTATGTTAATTCATGATTGTTAGTAATAAATTATAGCGTAGTGATGTCCACAAGGACCACAACTGATGAGTCGTTTTCAAAGTATATCAAATCTGATCGGTCTAAGTAATATTTTCTAATTATTTATAAAGAATTTATCACCACTAGCTAGTCATTAATTGTTTAATGTGCACCTCTCCTCAATCATTCTCAATAATTAGAAAATCTACAGGGAATGAAATTTACATATTTCTAAATCTTCAGAGAGACCAGAAAAAAAAGTCATGGAGATGACCGAAGCTTCCAAACAGACAACAACACATGGTAACTTCACTGTCTTAACTTCTGTTAAAATTGTCTCTATTCTTGTCTTCTTCAAAAAAAAAAAAAAAGAAGCAAAACTGAGAATTCCAAATTTTCTTTAACCAACAGAAGAATCAGAACATGTTCAGAATCCTGAACCAAACCAAATCTTGAGCCAAAGACGATTGTTGCAGCTAAATCAAAAGAAATGGTGGATCGCTGTTGCGTTATGTCTGTTCTTAGTCTTGCTCGGAGATTCTCTTGTCATACTTCTCTTGAACTTTTTCTATGTTCAAGACCGTCGAGAAGATTATAACCAAGATCTACAGTACAAAGGAACATGGATGCAAGCTCTGATCCAAAACGCTGCGTTTCCATTCCTTATCCCTCTCTACTTCATTTTCCCTTCACCAAAACCAAACCAAGAAACCAACAATCATCGTTTCCTCTCTTTTCGTCTCATTGTCCTATACTTTGTTCTTGGTGTTCTTGTTGCTGCTCATAGTAAATTGTACGCACTCGGGAAGTTATACTCAAGCTATGACTTCTTCATGCTGATATCAGGGTCCCAATTGATCTTTACCTTGATTTTCACAGCTATCATTAACCGTTTCAAGTTTACCAGATGGATCATCATATCGATAATTCTCACTCTTGTAAGCTATGGTTTTGGTGGTCCTGTATTTGCAGGAGAGCCTGATGAAAGCGAATATTTCTACGGCATCCAAGCTTGGTTAACTTTCGCTGCTTCGGTTGCTTTCGCATTATCTCTCTGTTTAGTCCAACTTGGTTTCGAGAAACTGTTGGTGAAGACAAATAGATATGGTAACAAGAAAGTGTTTAGAATGGTTTTAGAGATGCAAATCTGTGTCTCCTTTGTCGCCTCGGTTGTTTGTCTTGTGGGTTTGTTTGCGAGTGGTGAGTATAAGGAACTGAAAGGTGATAGCAAGAGGTTTAAGAAAGGGGAAACATATTATGTTCTGAGTTTTATCGGGTTGGCTTTCTCGTGGCAGGTTTGGGCGGTCGGGCTGATAGGTTTGGTGCTTTATGTTTCGAGTGTTTTTGGTAATATTGTTCATATGTGTGCTTCACCACTTATGGCTTTTATTGTTGTGTTGGTATTTGATTTTATGGATGATGATTTTAGTTGGCCTAGACTTGGTGCTTTGATAGGAACGGTTTTGGCTTTAGGATCTTATTTCTACACTCTGCACAAGAGAAACAAGAAGAAGATGGTGGAACTTAATTAACCAAAATGAGAACAATGTTGATGTTTAGTGTTTCATGTAATATTTATGTTTGTATTTTGGAAACTGTTCTTGTACTTCTAAATCTAGTAAGTCAATGTCTAAAAGCTGTATAATTTATTTGTTATTTGTTTTTGTTTGAGTATTTTTTTTTGTATTTTTGTATTTTGTATTTTCTGTTTTAAGAAACTTTGTTAATGAGGATTCATCCCTATATATTACTCTAGTACACATTGACACAGTTGATCATTGGCATCTCGACATCTCGGAGGCATCAAAACACCAATTAAGTTGTCCCGCTTGACGTATAAGAAGTGTTCGAGCTGCACCAAACTCTTATGCATTTTACCTCATGATAGCTTTTCTATACAGAGTAATGTTAGCTTCTGTCCCAAGCTATTCAAAGTCCATAAACCCTTAGGTAGCTCGGTCAACTCCTTCTTACTCTGAGTTCTTGGACATTGTTATGCTAATTTAAAGTCTGATTGGTGATTCATGCTTTTGGGTAACTAAGTTTCAGACCTAGAAGAATACTTAAAGTCTTGTGGACGGATATGATCCTCTTCACTGAGTGAACTTGTTTACCCATCCCTCTCTTTTTCCCCCTTTTCAGTGTCTGGAGGTTGAGTACAGCACACGTAGGGATGTCAATTGGGCTGTCCAGGTCCAAATGGGTCTGTCCAAATGGGACCAAGACCAAATAAGACTATGATAGTATAAGCCCAAATAGGACCGTGTCCAATTAAGACCAAACCAAATAAGACTATGACTAACTGGACAGCCCATGGAGCCCAAATAATATGATTTTCTCTTTCCCGCCAAAACTGCAAAAGCACATTTTCTCTCAAAATCGAAGATATTTTTCCGCAAAATCGTAAAATCACATTTTTCCACCAAAACTGTAAAAATATTTTTTGGAGTAAAAATGTCAGTGTAAATCCTAATTTTTAAAAGAACAAAGAAAAAAAATTTCTCCAAATTAGTAACCCTAATTTTTGAAGCTTATTGAACGGCAAATGTCCAGATGGGTTTGGCCCATTTGTTTGTAGACTAAATGGGCTTCTACCCCATATTGACCGCTTCGAATTTGGGCGCGACCAAATACGGACCATTATAATTTGGACTGGTCTTGCCCATGGTCACGAAGCCCATTTGACATCCCTAAGCACACGTCAAACTCATTGGTGTGATTTCAGAGAAAATGAGGGACACGTGACATGCTCTCTTGCTGAGACCATCTCCAATGTATTTCCCTATTTTTAGCTCTATCTCTATAATAGAGGTAAGTTTTCTCTATTTCTACTCCAATGTGTTCCTCTATTTTTTCCTCTAAAAAGTTTAACTCTATTTATAGAGGAAAAAATAGAGATTCTCTATTCTCACCTCTATATATAGAGAAAAAAATAGAGATCTCTATTATAGAGGTGAGAATAGAGGTGGGTTGGAGCAAATTTGCCTCTAAAATAGAGTTTAGAGGCAAATATAGAGGTGGGTTGGAGATGCTCTGAGTTAATGGAAGGGGTATTACCAACCCGTGCTATATATATATTTTTTTCAAATAAAGTTATGTTCGAAAAAAATAACGATTGTGTTATGTTCAAATGATTTGAAATATGTGATTGCAAAATCATTTATCTGAACGGTACAAATTTAGTCGTTTGCGTAAATTAGATTTGGACCAGCAATATATCGGAAGATAAATTTTAATTTTTATATATACTCTTAAAGTTTTTAATTTAGTATTAAAATTATATGATTTATATTTTTTGTATTTTTAGATTTAACCCGTGGTACATGTTTAATTTAGTAATTTAGTATTAGAATTACATATTTATCGGTGTCAAAGAGATTAACAATTCTATATAACTCATACTACATCAGAAAATTTTAACTACTAATAATATTTTAAACTTTGTATAAAAATTAAATATCATTACTATATAATACTTTTATAAATTTGAAATATTTATAATATTTTAAATATTCTAAAAGTTTAAGTATTTAAAATTTAATATATTTTGTACATTCGATAAAATTATCGGTTCAACTAAAGAACCAGATTAAACCGAATAAAACATCAAAATTTAGATGCTTGGTAAGTCAAAATTCATGTTCATTCGGTTCTGGGATCATTTTGGTCTTTCTTATATTAGACTCTCAACCATTGCCCAAAAGTTTTAACAAATATAGAACGTTGAACACATTCTATTTTTCTTCATCGATTGAGTAATATATTTTCGATTTCAAAAATTTGAATCATACAAAAACAAAATCTATATTTCTATTAATTATATATATCTATATGATGATTCAAAATAATTTGAAAATAAAATCAAACAAAGATATGATAGAAGAATCATAAATTTAAATCTTAACTAAATCTTCCAAGTATAATAACTAAAAATTAATGTCTTTTTTGGAAATCACATTTACGGATTCGGAAAAATTTTAAGTTAATTTTCGTTATTCAAATATATTTTGTAAGATTTTCTATTAAATTAAAATAACGTGATACCCATTTTAAAAAAATTTAGAAAATGGTCTTAAGACCAATGGCATGTACATGTTAATTTTTTACAAAATAATGTCATATTTTTCAGAATCTTCTCAATTAATAGTAGGGATTACAAAAAGTGTCATATTCAGGCTCCAATTGGTGACCATAAAAAGAACAATAGGAATAGGAAATTTATAATTTTGTTCCTCTTTGTTCCTCTACAATTTTGGTTATGAATAATTTTGTTCTATCATTCTTTTTCTTTTGAGGAATGTAGAGGAAAAATGTAGGAAAAAATGGAATAAAAATTACTTACAAATGGTAAAAAAATTGAGAAACAAAGAGGAACATGATATTCCTACTAATTCTTTTCCTCAAAAATGGTTACCAATTGGACCCTCAAAGAAAACAAATAAGGAAACTCATTAAAATTAGGGAGACTCACAAAAATACCCCTTTTTCAATACCCCTTTTCAAAAATGCCCCCTTTGGCTGTCTATTTTTAAAAATACCCCTTTTTATGTACAAAATGACTAAATTACCCTTCTTTTAATAAAAGATATCACAAATATATAAGGAAAACATGAGAATATGCACACATCAAAATTACAAATTTGATTTTGTAAAAACTTGTAAAACCTTTAAAATACCTTGTAAAATTTTCCCGTGAAAATTTTTCCCACCAAAATTTTTTTTTTTCTGGAAAAGTGATTCCGCAATTTTTTTGGCGTTAAATATTTGGCGGGAAAAATTTACAAGGTATTTTAAAGGTTTTTACAGGGTATTTATAAAGTTTTACAACGTATTTATAAGGTATTTATAAGATATTATAAGATTTTACAAGCTATTTTATAAGGTTTTACAAGTTATAAGATTTTACAAGTTTTTTATAAGGTTTTACAAGTTATAAATACCTTATAAAACCTTATAAGTACCTTGTAAAACCTTTTAAAATACATTGTAAAACCTTACAAAACACTTGTAAATACTCTGTAAAACCTTTAAAATACCTTGTAAATTTTTGGGATTTTGGTCTAATGTGCCATTTACTGTAGCAATACTTACAGAAATTGCCACAAAACATTTGTCTTTCACAATGTGCCATTTCTTCACTTTATGGCAGACAGACAATGACGAAAATACCCTCAGACGAAAATATCTAAATATCAGATATTTGGTGGACAAAACTTTAAAACAACATATTTCGAAAAATTTTGGTAGACAAGAAATATTATCCACATTTTAAACAAAGGATTGGAATGATATTTGGTGGACAACAAATATTGTCCACATTTGAAACAACAAACTTCAAAGAAATCTGGTGGACAAAAATTCGAAACGGCATACTTCGAAAATTTTGATAGACAAGAAATGTTGTCCACATTTGAAACAACAGATTGAGAAGATATTTGGAGGACAACAAATATTGTCCACATTTGAAACAAACAGACTTCAAAGAAATTTGGTGGACAGAATTCGAAACGACATACTTCGAAAATTTTGGTAGACAAGAAATGTTGTCCACATGTATCTTCTTCCTTCTCAGATTTAGATTCGTTTCCAAACCAAATTCAGACCCAGATTTTTTATTTCGCTAAATCGCCAACGATGTATTCCTAGATCGAAAACGTGATGAACTCTTATATCTAAAGAGATTAAACTTCATTATTTAGAGGAAAGAGAGAAAGAGACATGAGAGAGAGATGAGAGAGAAAGGAGAGGAATGAAGATTGAACAAAAAAGCTTTATCTTTAAAGGGCAAATTGGACTTTGCAAGTTGGGTTAGAAATTGAACTGTGGCACAATTGAAAAGGATTTGTAGGTTGTGGCAATTTTGGTAAGAATTGCTACAGTGTGTGGCACATTAGTTAGATTTCTCTAAATTTTTCCCGCCAAAAATTTTCCCGCCAAAAAATTGCGGAATCACTTTTCCCGAAAAAAAAAATTTTGGCGGGAAAATTGCGGGATCACGTTTCCCGCCAAAAATTTGCGGGATCACTTTTCCCGCCAAAAAATATTTTGTATTTTGTGGACCTAATTTTGTTTCAAATAAGGGTAAAATGGTCATTAAAAATTAAAAGAGGGCAAACTTAAAAATGGACTCTCAAAAGGGGTATTTTTGAAAAGGGGTATCTCAAAAGGGGCATTTTTAACAATTTCTCTTAAAATTAAATTTAGAATAGAGAAATATTAATATTGATGTATCCAAACAACTCTTACAATTAATTCTCTACTAGATCGTTGACCCGCACGTACGTGCGGGGTTTCATATTTTAAAAATTTCTAACAAAATTTAATTCAATATAGATTATTTTGTTGTTTTTATGATATATATCCTATACTATTATTTGGGGAGTACACTTTATAAGATACCCTTAACTAACCTTCTTATTTGTAAAAAATTACTTAAGAATGCCATTAGAGATAAAAATTTAAAGAGTAAATTAATTCAGCTCATTAAGGATAAACAAGTCAAATACTAATTTATGCAATTTAATTAATTTAATTATTAAAAACGAAAATATATTATTAATTTAAAAAAAAGAATGACCAATCAAAATGAACATATAAGATTTGATATCTAACTTACCATATTAATTTGTTATTAATCATTATAGTTCACCTCTCATCTTTATATGATTCTATTTTTATGAAACAAATAAATCATCATATCATCCATATAAACAAAAAAAAGTAATTTTTTCTCCATATGCCAAGATTTGAATTTTTAAAAACGAAATTAAATTGTAAAATCTATGAAAAAAAAAATTTAACGGGTCAAAAATTCACATTTGAGTAATATATTTCTTTTAACCAAAAATAAGTTCAACAAAAATTTAGACTGAGTAACGGGTCAGAATTTGAATATTTATAATCAATTTCATACATTTATTTTTTGAAATGTATTATTTTATATACTATAATAAGATTTTTAAACATTTTAATTTGCAACATATAAAATTAGTTTTACTTGATATTTTTCAAGAACATCAATATTTAAAGAATATCATCAATAAATATTCTAATTTGATTTTTGTAAACAAATATTTATAATAGGCAGTGGGTTAAATATAATATATTATATTAACAAATGAGTTATGATCCTTATAATTGTTTGAATATTTCTATTTAATTTCATATAATTCTTTTTTGAAATTCATAATTTTATATACTAAAAGAAATATTTTTAAAGATTTTAATTGGAACATTTAAAAATAGTTTAATTTAATATTTTAATGAATATCATAATTCATAAATATTTAATAGATTAAAAAGATAAAAAAAAATTATAAATACTATAATTTTCTAAAAAGATATATTTAAAATAGTTATAGTAGGCGGAGGGTTACATGTAATATATTATATGATATAAAATTATGATCCTTATAATAGAAGGCATGTTAAGATTATATGATCAGATAGATTAAATAAGGTTGACACCTCAAAATATTTGAAAATTTGATTGTGCAAGCAATTTTGGAAATAACGAATAATAGATTGTGCACGCAATATTTTCATTAGGATTCTAAAATAAAAATATAGACTCCACGCACGGGTTGAATTTGGTATATTATATACTAAATATATGTTCATAACATATTCGATTACGCGAATAATTGATAAATTCCGTAGTTACCTCAAACAAATCTCTATTTCAACAACCAAAGAATTAGAAATTGAAAAAAGAATTTTCTAAATTAATTCAAAATAATAGCTAACTATCTTAATTAATTAAAAATAATCTACGTTTTAGAAGCGATTCATTTATAATATTTTGATTTTTGATCTAACTGAATTATATGCAATCTCATTTTGTGGTTGTTAATATAAATTTACTCATTTTTCAGACTATATTAATTTATTAAAATAATTTTATTTTCTGTTTTCATATCTTTAAAAAAAATCCATAATTGAGTATAATTAAAAAAAAAGATATTCATTCTAATATTATATATAGGGAGTGACAAAAATCTAATTATATTTTTTCAATTACTATTATAATATATCACAACTTTATTCTAAAATATATGATATATAAATTTTGTAATAAATAAAATTTAACCCGTACTGTAGTACGGGTGATGATCTAGTTTTAGTGTATTAGATCTAGATCCACGTACGTGTAGAAATAATTTTATTGAAATTGTTATATATATATTTTAAAAATATAAAATATTTTATTGTGTTAGTGAACTTCGTAATAGTATAAATATTATAAAGTTAGAATAATGAACAAAATTCAGTTGCGTTAATGCATAATTATATTTTAAGATCTGGACTAATTTAGTTACAAAAGTTAAATGGTGTTACATTTTTATTTTCTTAACTAATCAAAACAGTTCTAACAGTTTGATTACATATGTTAAATAGGATATGAATTCGGTTTTAGTTTGGGTTATTTCATGTATATTAGCTAGGCGTAACTATTTTGGAGCAGGAAACATATCTCGTCCGGTATATGTCATAAATTCTTTGTCCCATAATCTGTCACGTATACGTAAAGTAAAAATATTACGGTCTCATATCTGTCATAAATAGAGTATGTGTAACTGAAAACGTATGTCCAGGGTTATGTGTGTAAACAAATTTATTTTATATAGTGCTCATAACCCGAACTCATACCATTTGGGTATTTAGTTTGATTTTTAGTATATGTTCCCCTCCCATCTCGTCTCGTAATTTCTATTTTCATTTTATTTTATTAAAATTATTTTCTAAATTCTTGTTTGCTTACCTTTAACAACCATACAATATTACAATATATACTGTGAGTTTTACGGATTAATATGTATGATGTTAACGTTACAAATATATTTTAACAAATTTATTAATGTTTCGACCTAAATTTTGTACATTTTTCTTTTCATTGTTTAATGGGGGATTAGCAAAAATACCCCTTTTCTCATGCCCCTTTTCAAAAATGCCCCTTTTAGATGTCCATTTTCAAAAATGCCCCTTTTTAAATCTGAAATTTTTAAAAAGTTTTATTAGGTTTATAAGGTACTTATGGATTGTAACTACTACTTGAAGACTCAATCCAAGTATTTATAAGGTTTTATAAGGTGTTTTTAAAGGTTTTACAAGTTATTTTAAAGGATTTTTAAGGTTTTTCAAAGGTTTTACAAGATATTTTAAAGGTTTTTAAAGGTATTTAAAATGCATTTATAAGGTATTTATAAAGTATTTATAAGATTTTAGATACATAGAAATGTAGTTTGTGTATGTTTTAATAATATTACATACATATTTGGGTAAATCTTATATTTTTAAGAGCATTTTTTATAAGGTTTTAAAAAAGGGGTATTTTTGAAAAGTGGCATTGAAAAAGTGGCATTATTAACAATTTCCCTTGTTTAATCATAATTAATTCGATTTTTTTTGGACTAAAATAAAAATTTGAGATACATCTATAAAAGGGATATGCTATTGATGCATAATTTGTTTTGAATGCAAAATATATAATTAGTTCACATTATTTCGAAAACTGTGTGCAATATGTTATAGATTTGTTTAAGGAAGATCCGGTTGAGAAGAAAAAAAAAAAGAAATCACAAAATATTTCGAAATTAATATGTACAATCTATTATTTAGATATTTCCGAAACTTGCTCTAAACGAATGCCATAATGATAATTACTTTAAATTTATCATTATTTGAGTTTATTTCATAGTAAATATAAATATTTGTTAATATCTAATATCATTTTTTAGAAATTGTGAAATAAAATTTTGTTTTATATTTCAAAATTTGTGAAAATTTTATAACAACTGAGTCTTAAATATTTGTATTTAATTTTCTTACGAAATTCAAATTCAATCTTAAAATCTTTCATTGATAAATTTTTTTAAAAGATAGTGTTTTTAATTTTGAATTAAAATGGTATTATTTTTCTTTTTATTTTTGATATAGAATAGTTTATTAGGATTGATTTAGATAAAATTTTAGTTGGATATCAAATCTTAGTTTTTCAATTCTCATTGGTTAACAACTTTTTAGAAAAAAAAAATTAAATTTTCGTCCATAATTGATAAGAGAGAGAAAGTGAGTTCAATTTTTTGGAAACTAATAATTACTTTAAAGAATTTTATTATTTTTTATTTAAATATATTATTTTGTGATTACTATTGTATCTTTAATGAATTTATTTAAAAACAAAAACTAATGGCATTTTTGTAATATTTTACACTTTATAAGGTTAGTTATGTTTGAGTGCTTCCCAATTAATAGTATAGATATCCATATATGTAACCAAACAGAATTAAAAGATTTTAACATAAACCATAAAATTAGAAATATCCATATAATGTTTCACAATTAATAATATAGATATTTAGTAGATTTTATTAAGATTTAAAATTATGATTTTCCTATAATCTTTGTTTGTTTATAATACATAAATTTCTGTAATTACTTTTCTCAAGTTATAACATGTAGTTAGAGCATCTCCAACCATTGTCTATTTTTTCCTCTAAACTCTATTATAGAGTAACATTTTATCCAACCTCACTCTATATCTTACTCTAAAATAGAGTAAATGATAGGATTGCTCTATATATAGAGCAACTCTAGAGTAAGGTGTAGAGTGATACATTGGAGAGAAATCATGTTCTATTTAAAAGTAAAAAATAAAGATTTACGTTGGAGATGATCTTATAACACAAGTTATGTAACTTACTTTTCTCAAAATGAATTTTTACCGGTAATGTTCCCATAGTTTCCTTTTTCCTTATTGAAATTTATTTCCTAACAAGTGTTAATATTTTATGTAGAGTGCCTTTTCGTCAACTACTTTAAAAAAAGCATTGATTCTTAATTTACTATTTGTATTATTAATTAAATTTTAGAAAACAAAAAAAAAACATAACTTGGCATGGAAATGTTCTACATTCAGAAAGTTTGATTTAGAGTATATACAAAAGTTTTTTTCTAATATATATAGATATATATTTTTATGGTATACACAAAAGCTAATTTATATCTAAATCTAATTATTTTCATGCGTAATTGTAAACTTATGTAATTTATGTGAAACTAAAACCATTTTCATATTTATCTTTCGTATTATATAATGAAAATCAAATGATATTTACAAATCAATAATAGAGATATTAAATCCTACGTTTTGGTTTTGTCAAAGTATTAAATCCAACGTTTAAATTAACCTTTGTGTATAATATATACAAGTCCTTTTCTCAGTTTCTGGTTTTGAAAGTACCAACTCTGATCTGTCAAAAAGTTTTCGTACGGTATTAGTGGAAAGATTTTTTCTAATTACAAGATGGAACTAGTCATTCCACACGGAATGAAATTTGCATATTTAAAGATCTGCATAATTGCAAGAGGCACCAGAGAAAACTAATGGAGATGTCCAAAGCTTCCAAACAGACAGCAAGACATGGTAATTATTTCACAATCTTATCTTAATTTCTATTACATATTGCTTTTGCTGACCAAAAAAAAAAAAAAAAAACTGAGATTTCTAAATTTTCTTTAACCACCAGAAGAATCAGAACATGTTCAGAATCCAGAACCGTACCAAAGCTTGAGTCCAAGAAGATCATTGAAGCTAAAACAAAAGAAATGGTGGATCTTTGTTTCTTTATGTATTTTCTTAGTCTTGCTCGGAGATTCTCTCGTCATGCTTCTCTTGAACTTCTTCTATGTCCAAATGGAGCAAGACTTTCATGAAATTTATGACCAAGATCTACAATACAAAGGAACATGGACGCAAGCTCTGATACAAAACGCTGCGTTTCCTATTCTCATACCTCTCTTTTTCATTTTCCCTAAACCAAAACAAAACCTTGAAACCAACAATACTAGATTCCTCACCTTGCGTCTCTTCTTCCTTTACTTATCTCTTGGTGTTCTTGTTGCTGCTCACAGCAAATTGTTTGCACTCGGGAAATTAGTCTCAAACTATGGCATCTTCATGTTGATTTCCGCAACCCAATTGATATTTACCGCTATTTTAACAGCCATCATTAACCGTTTCAAGTTTACTAGATGGATCATCATATCGATATTACTCACTATTGTGATTTACGTTCTCGGTATACCTGACTTTGGAGGACAGCCTCAAGAGGGAGAAGAATATGGATACAACATCCAAGCTTGGTTAGCTTTCTCTGCTACGATTGCTTTCTCATTATCTCTCTGCTTAATCCAACTCGGGTTCGAGAAACTCCTGGTGAAGACCAAGAGATATGGTAACAAGAAAGTGTTTAGAATGGTCTTAGAGATGCAAATATGTGTCTCTTTTGTCGCCTCGATTATTTGTCTTGTGGGTTTGTTTGCAAGTGGTGAGTATAAGGAACTGAAAGGCGATAGCAGGAGGTTTAAGAAAGGGGAAGCGTATTACGTTCTTAGTTTGGTTGGGTTGGCTTTGTCGTGGCAGGTTTGGGCGGTCGGGCTGATAGGTTTGGTGCTTTATGTTTCGGGTGTGTTTGGCGACGTTGTTCATATGTGTGCTTCACCACTTGTGGCTTTGTTTGTTGTCTTGGCATTTGATTTTATGGATGATGTATTTAGTTGGCCTAGAATTGGTTCTTTGATAGGAACAACTCTGGCCTTGGGATCTTACTTCTACACTCTACACAAGAGAAACAAGAAGAAGATGTCGGAACTTAATTAAAGTGAGAACAATGTGGAATTTAGTCTCTCATGTCAAATGTATGCTTGTGTTTCTTAATCTGTTCTTGTTTTTCTGATTCTTGTAAGTCAATGCCCAAAATATGTTGTATAGATCTTTATCATATTGTGTAATTTATTTTTTGTTAACTGTTTTAGTTTGATATTTTTTTTCGTTTTTGCATTTTTATATTACAATACTTTGTTAATGAGGAGTCGTCCCTATATATTACTCAAGTAGACTTGATTATTAACATTTTGGGTGCATCGAGACACCAATGAAGCCAGGTCCACTTGATGATATAAAACTTTCAATAAGTCTTTGAGTTGAACCAAGCTCGTAGTTTTCCTATATAGACTGCACCGTAAGCTTCTTCCCCAAGCAACTCAAAGTCAACGAACGCTTTGGTAGTTTGGTCAACTTCTTCTTACTATGTGTTCCGAGAAAACCATTGTTATGGCAAATTAAAAACTCTGTTTGGTGATTTTCTTTTTTCTTGTGAATGTTTAATTCATTGATCAAAGTCGAAAAACATGTACAGAGTTTGGTTTACCTATGCCGTAGCTAACACCTAAAACAGAGAAACTCAAAGCAAAAGATTTCGACTACAATTTACAACTTTGGATCAAAGGAGAAAATGAGACAGCTCAGGTGCTTCTTTGGAGCAACTGACGGAGTCGCGGTCTAGTGGTGTATCAAGAGAATGATCATGTATTCATGTTCCTAATTAAAAATGATCATGTTTATTTGACCGAGTCGCGGTTTCAGGACTGGGGGATTACGGGTTTCGGCCCAGAACCTCCTGATATTCAAAAAAAAAAAATAATAATAAATAAACAACTCGACGGTTTTTTTTTTTTTTTTATGTTAATCACGAATATAAGTTATAGAATTTTAAATTACTCTCTTCGAGTAAATTACAAATTTAAGTTCTACTAGGGATTGACCCGCGGTACACCGCGGGACTATATTTTTTTTAAGAAAATAATATATGTTTGTTTGAGAGAAATTAATATAGGTTTTAAACATAATAAGTCTTTATATAACCCATTTAGATGTGTGATTTGAATATATATGGAAATCAATGTAGTGCTAATTGTATGAGTAGTATGTTGTATGTTTGAATATTTATAATAAAACGAATGAGATTAATATTCAGTAAGCGACGATGTACCGGGTTGTGTACAAAGTACGTATCGTCTTATTGTGTGTTGTTGTATATTTAAAAACTTTTGAAAGTGTATAAGGACTTTATTGTTAATGTGCAAATATATGTTTTGGTTCAAAACATTTGGTTATGGTTAGAAATATCTAAATATGATATATCTTTATTTATTTTCTTGTTGAAAGGAAAAACATGTGGTAGTGAAATAATTCCGTTGTATTATATATGTAGAGAATTATTGTATTTAATTATGATTATGGGCCTGATTGGCAAGTGCTTTAGAGTCTTTACAAAGCAAAAAAATTTCTAAAGATTTGAAATACATCCAATCAAGCTTTAGAATCTTTGGCTTTCCTTTTTTTCTCACAGCCAAAATATTTCCTTAATTCATTTTTTTGGCTGTAGAAAGCCTTTTTTCCTAAAGCACATAATTTTCAACTTTCCAAAATTTTAAATTCCACAGCCAAAATACTACAGCACTAAAATCTACAGCCACAGCAAATAAACCTACAGTCATATTTCTACAGCAAAAAATGTAAAGCTACAGCTGTTACCAATCAGGCCCTATATATTTGAGACAAATAAGTGTTAATTTCATAAATGAAATTTATAAATCACATTTATAGTATCAGTCTTAAGTAGTTAATTAATCCTAAGTAGTTGCCAACATCACCAGTATTGATATGTTTCTCTCTGCTTATACATGAATTAGGCATACCATATTGTTGTCCTTGTAAAAAAAATTCCAAATATTAAAAAGTTTTATGGTATTCTATAGTAACAAACATTTATATGATTAGCATGGTATACATGTTTAATTCAATCTGATATATACTAACCTGTCTGCTCCTGATATGCAGTAGCTGGTGTCCTAAATAGAGGTGAGGACGATGAGGATAAGTTCATCATCGTATTGGTCAGGTCTTTGAAAGGAATGGTAGAATATCTCTGACTCGGTTGAGAGTTCTCCTGGAACATCGATGTAAGTCCAGAGTTTCCCATTGAACCTGAAAATCTTTTTAAAAATAAGCAAAAATTCTTGTACCACATTCATCATAAAAACTGTCAGACATTATTCTTATTCTTTAAAGAGTAATGAAATTACCAACTGAATAAGGTATATCTTTTGCAGAATCTTTTCCCATTTGAGAAGATGGTGTCTGACAGTTTTCATCACCTCCAACACCAAGGTTGGTAATATCTCTAAATACTCTACTGAAAGCTGATCTAAGAGGAACAGAACCAATAGTATTAGATCCAGTAGTCTGAGTTATTTGGCTCACAGGTGTGGGAGTTTCAGTGAAACGGGATTTCTTTTCTGGTTGTGGGGATCTATTCAAATCTAAGAGAGGGTAATCTGGTTTTTTTTTCATTTTCAAACTGTAGGTGGGACACTTTACTAAACAATGAGTGAGCTAGTAAAATCTTTGTGTTCACTCTATAAACCTAATGACCGAATAAAGTATATGGCAATATCTTAGATGGAGAATTATGGTTGGATACACAAAGATTTATTCTATATTTTAGGAAAGCTGATAAAGTTTGGTATGGATTTTACTCAATATTAGACAGAATAAAATCTAATTGTGTGATTTGATTGTGTAGCCTAAAGAAATAATACTTTCTTTTTTTTGGTGTTGCAGGGCAAATAAATATAGACAGAATCAAGTTGACTCCTAAGTCATTAATATTGAATAACTACTTAAGGTATGTTTCAATACTACTCTCATGTTTAGAAACCATTTATAATTGTGTTTCCTTTAGCTTTATGTTTGAGTAATAAATTTTAGGAGTATTAACCAAGCAAAAAAAGTCAATAAAAATATGCTACGAAATTAAAGTAGTTATCAAATAAGAGTTATAATTCACATGTAATAAGTGAAACTTATTACACATGAACACATGTTTTTCAAAAGGTAACCATAGTTTGAAATAGAGAAAAAAACAGAATCCAACGGTGCAATAGGAAAACATAAAAACAGGACAGTAAGTTCACATAGGTCCTCAACGAAACAGATACTCCATCTACTAGTTCTCTGCAACCACCTCCCTCATCACAACCTCAGCGTCAGCTCTTTGTTTCTCAGTGAAATCCTGACTGTGTTACAATAAACAAAATGTCAGAGTTACTAAAATGATTAAACATTTTAGAGTATTTTGAATCATAAGTGTAGGCAGAAACTTACATGTATCTTCTGACATCAACATCAGGAAACCTTGGGTTTAGGTAGAGATGGGAACAACCATGCTCACTCATTAAAACATTTGTACCTGAAGTTTAATGCATGCAAACTATAGTTAAGAAACAATATAGACAAATGTACTTAAGTCATACATATCAAGGATCAGATAGATAGAAAACTACAGTAATTTGATACCTTTATATGAAAACAACTATAGCTTGAAAGTAAAACTTACCAAAAACCTCTGAGATTCTCCAGCCCCGGAGAACAGCCACTATAGGTTGGTAGTTGTAAGTAGGCGCAATTGTCTGTTTAGCATACTTGGTCACAAACAACTCACAACACTTTCCAACAGCACAACATTTGATCTCCTTACCCCTATAGTGTGTTGAAACAAAAAGTTTATGTAAAAAGAACAAACTTAATATAATTCACAACACATGATAGAAACTCAATAGAAGTCAAACTTACTCTAGGTCCACTAACTTGAAGGCCACATATCTTGATTCATAGTCTGTCCCACCCATCCGTGTGACATAAGGAAACCTTTTGATAGTTGTCACAGCCGAGACAACACCAATAGCATCTTCATGATGATATAAACAGAACAAACACGTACTAGTAAGATCCATATAATCTAACAGAGAATAAAATTTGTTATAAAATTGCTTACCAGTTACAAACTCTTTTTCCTCTTCCATAGCAAACTCAACAGTCTCTGGGAAAACAAAATCAAAGAAACTGTAAGGGCATTCAACACTAATAGGCCACATAGTAGTGTCTGCAATGCACTTGATGTGATATGGGAAGCAACAATATTTTGTCTTCTTCTCTTGAGGACGCAGAACCTCAAAGTCACTCATGCGAAACCAACAACCTCGTTTCAGTACAGCCTGAAAATTCCAATTGTAATATCGATTTGGAATAGTTGCATCGATCCTATTACCCTAAAATCACAATAAATTCCATACATGAGTTTATCAGATCCAACAAAACTACCAATCATAAAAGAGAAAGTAGACAATCCATAGTCATGTTTAGATTTTACCTTTTCATCGGCCAATATCAGTCTGGTCTCAATCCTACCATTCACCAGAGGCTCCTTCCACATGCTTAGGATCTTAACATGGACCAACCATCTTGTTGAATTCACATTCAAATCAGATAGGTAGTGAAGAGGTTCCATTTGTGATTGAAAATTTGCTGTTTTAGAGAAAATGTTTGATGAATGAGAGTTTTCGTGGAGAAGAACAGAGAAACTTTGCTTTATATATATGGAAGATAGTTAACAGGTTTGAAGAATAGAAGTAGAAGTTAGAGGAAATATGAAACGTTTTGAGTCTCAAAAACCGTGTAGTTTCTATATTATCTATAAGTGATGATTACTTATTGACTGACATTAGCAATGAACTTGGAAAAAGCAAGATTCTCAATGATTTGATATATTTACAGTTTCCATATTTATCTCCGATTAAAGATTGTGAAAATCTTAACAGTATATTCAAATGAATATTTATTGTTTAAATACGATTATAAGAAAAGGATACTTTAGTATGTATTCTTAGGAGATTAAGAATATACCATATGATTACATTATTGATATAAGTAAACATACTTAATGACTCTAATCGTTTGTTTTTTTTTACAGGATAATATGTATATAGGTTATGGTGTAGTTGGCATATACTGTCTCAAGCAAACCATAAAGTAAGTCTACTCAAACTATATAGTTGGTTAATCTTCATGAATAAAATATAGTAACTTTAAATCTGAGAACGATAGTATAGAATAGTAATGTTTAGGTATTTATAACAGAGTTCAACGATAGTAGCAATGAAATTTAGGGAAAAGGAACTTAATTATTCAATCTAAATTGAATACCACTGAAGGATTCAACTTAAAAACATAAAGAACCAACAGTAAAACAAATGCAAAAACGAAATAAACTGAAGCAATAGTTCTCAACAGAAATAACAAACAAACTCTAGAAAACATGAAAACATAAAGTGATCTAAAGAGATCACTTCTTCTTTTCAATCTTCACCTTGATATCCTCCTTCTTCACCACAACCTTCTTCACAGCTCCACCATCATCATGCTTAACCTCCTCAGATTCGACCACCTTACCTTTGTTCTTCATATCAACATTCTCCTTTGCTTTGTCTTCTGCCTTAACATCTGCTAACTCAAGAGCAACCTCTCCCACAAACTCCAGATTAGACTTCTCCAAGTCCACTGGTGCAATGCACAACTTCTTTGAAGTTGATGATCCATCAGAGCTTCCAACATTAAGGGGGTAAACACGCTTAGAGGATGGAGTTATTGAGTCAGTAGTCTCTTGACTACACTCCAGCATTAGAGGTACCTGGCCATAGAAAAGAAAAGTAAATTCAAGTTGTCAAAAACTAACAATTGGATGATTAACATAAACAAAGATTATATATATCAACCTGAGGAATTACCTGATCACCAGATACAATTGAGGCAGCATTGACAATGTCAGAAGATTCCTCCACCAATTGTTCCTCAAGTAGTCCATTCTTCTGTAGAACTTTTGAAACCTTGTAGATTTCTTTTCCATCAAAGATGTTTGCTCTCTCAATCCAGACCAGAAAGAGAAATGTCTTCCCAATAAGATTCTTAACCGGATCAGGCAAATCCTCAGGATCATCAATCTACAGAGCATTGTATAAGTTAGTACACTGCTTGGTATGTTTTAACAAAAAAAAAGCTTTGTATGTATTATAGTAGCACATACCTCATCAACTGAGCCATCAAGCACAGATGCTGCAGATTCACCAATGATTTCAGAGCAAATTGAATCAAACAGTAGGAGTCTTGCCTCACCAGTATTATCCATGACCTTAGCATAAATCATAAACCTATAACAGATAAGAATGTTAATTAGATGGCTACTGAAAACTATATATTTTAAGAAAACACAAATCAAGAATAAAGAAGTATTACCTAGCAATGACATTTGTGACCACAGACTTGCACACGTCACACCAGAACCTAGGTTTCTTCCCTTTGTTGTTGACACCATTAACCCCAGCATGGACATGTGTGACCTTCTTATTGCAAGATTTGCAACTAATGTAGTACCATGCCCAATCAGTATCAATGGCATAGATGGTACACATCAGCCTTGCCTTACCAACCTAAGAAAATAAAAAATATAACTTAGAGAAAGCTAGATATAAAGACTGAGAAAGCAAAGTTTCTTACATCCATAGAAGTGATGAGTTCTGAAATTGTGTTCCTTGGAAACTCATCATAATCTTCGTTTTTGGCACTGACAATAGCAAATCTTGGTACTCTCTCACGGAATACACAGATTATACCATCATCTGGGAGTCTAATTTTTAACATAAGAGTTAGCAGGTAATGAAACAATTATGGAGAAAATAGAATAAGAACTATATAATTAGGGCAAGTCTTACGATTGGATAAAAGCAGCTACTTCAGGGTAGGCTGGATTGACATGGACTTGAGTAGCATCAAATGAATTTGATAAGCTCCTAACACCTAGGTAATATAAGAACTGAAGTCAAAAACTGTCTGAAAGTAGCTACATATGTATGTATAATTGAGAGTAGCTGATAGGTACCTTTGAATGCCTTTATCTTAGCAAATCGAATCAGGCACACGACAGTCTTGTCTTCAGCAGCTTGACAGGCTGTGTAAACAGTCTGAGCAAATGACCCCCACAAAGTAACTGCAATTCTCACATCCCTAAAACAAATACAAAAGATCAGTATATTGAAAATATAGAAAGATATAAACTGAGTATGTTGAGAGTTAAAATATCACGTCTCATCTCTCATTTCGAAATCAAGCTTGCAAGTAGGCTTATTATTAGCCTCAAGGTTCTCCAACTCAGATACCATAACAATTTGACCCATGACATCTGTTAAAACAAATACAAATGTTTAGTATATAATTTAGTAAAAGAATAAATATATATGATTTACATATTTAATAAATAGATCACTTACCAACCAAAATGTGGGGATTAAGCTCTCCACTGTGAATCTTTTCGAACTTGGCCAAAGACAGGTAGTTTGATTCAGACTTAGGTTCAGAACCAAATACAGTAGTGGTGTTGACAAAAGTCATCTTGTAGAGATGATTTGTGGGACGGAATTGACCACCAGCATAACTAAGACCAAATGTCTCAATTAAGACCCAATCTCCAACAGTTAGACTGTTGACATACCTGGAGACCAAATCCTTTTTGACAGTGCAATGAATTTTCTTCCCCTGCAAAATGAAGTATTAGTTATGGTAGGAAATAGTTAAAATGATGTGTATAGAAAAATTGATATGTTTTGTATTTGCTTACCAGTTCATCAGAGAACACCAACTCAAGAGTCTCACCAGTATCAGAAGTGTACTGTTTCCAGGCGTGAAGGACTTTCACCTGCACTCTCCAGCCAATCTTGTAAGGACGAACATCTTTGAGGTAACCAAAAGTAGCAGGCATTGTGGACTTTGTAATATTTGTTTTGATGGATAGTGAAGTGAGATGTTTAGTTGCCGATGGTGAGAGTTGAAATGCAAATGAGAGTATATATAGTAAAATGATTTAGGTTAAGCATGTAGAGTTGTGATCACGCAAAAAATATATTTAGGAGAATAAAATTAGGTATAAAATCTTTGGATCCGATCCCAACATAAAAGGAATATGCGTGATTATTAGTTTGTATTCGCAATATATCTATACTATTAATTGGGAAGCATTCCCTGAAAAATAACCTTAAAAAGTGTAAAAAATTACAAGGGAATGCCATTAGTTTTTAGTGTTTTTAAATAACTTCATTAAGGGTACAATAGTAATCACAAAATTAATATATTTAAATAAAAAATAGTTTAATTCTTTTAAATAATTATTAATTTCCAAAAAAATAAACTAATTTTCTCTCTCTTATTAATTATAAACGAAAATTTGAAATTAATTTTAAAAAAATTGTTAACCAATAAGAATTGAAAAACTAAGATTTGATATCCAACTAAGATTTTATCTAAACCAATCGTAGTAGACTATTCTATATCAAAAATAAAAAGAAAAATAATATCATTTTAATTCAAAATTAAAAACACTATCGTTTAAAAGATTTATCAATGGACGACTTTAAGATTAAATTTAAAATTTCGTAAGAAAATTAAATACAAATATTTTAAGATTCAGTTTTGATATAATATTTTCACAAATTTTAAAATATAAAACAAAATTTTATTTCACAATTTCTAAAATACGATATTAGATATTAACAACTATTTATATTTATGATGAAATAAACTCAAATAATAATAAATTTAAAGTAATTATCATTATAGCCTTCGTTTAGAGCAAGTTTGATAAATATCTAACAATAGATTGTATATATTAATTTCTAAATTATTTTGCGTTTTATTTTTTGTTTTTCAACCGGATATTTCTTAAATAAATCCCTAATATATTGCACACAGTTTTCAAATAATGTAAACTAATTATATATTTTGAATTCAAAACAAATTATGCAGCACTAGCATATCCCTTTTAGAGATGTATCTCAAATTTTTATTTTTAGTCCAAAAACCAAATTAATTATGATTAAACAATAAAAAGAAGAATATGCAAAATTTAGCTAAGGAAAAAAACATTAATAAATTTGTTAAAATATATTTGTAACTTTAGCAGCATATATATTAATCTGCAAAACTCACAGTATGTATCGTATGGTATTTAAAAGTAAGCAAACAATAATTTGGAACATGACTTTAATGGAATGAAATGAGAATAGGAATTACGAGACGGGATGAGAGGGGAACATAAATTAAAAATCAAACTAAATACCCAATTGGTATGAGGTCAGGTTATGAGCACTATATAAAATAAATTTGTTTACATATATATCCATGTTTGTACGTTTTCATTTACACATATATTCTATTTATGCCGGATACTGGACCGTCATATTTTTATTTCACGTATACGAGACGGGTTATGGGACCAAGAATTTATGACAGATACAGTACGGGATATGTTTCCCGTTCTAAAATAGTTACCCCTAGCTAATATACTTGAAATAACCAAACTCAAACCGAATCTATATCCTATTTAACACATGTAATCAAACTATTAGAAATGTTTTGATTAGTTTAGAAAATAAAAAAGTAACATCATTTAACTTTTGCAACTAAATTATATCTTAGTTTTATCTTAAATATAATTTCGCACGTACGTGTAGGTCCGGATCTTAAAATATAACTATGCACTAACGCAACTGAATTTCGTTCATTTACTCTAATTTTATAATATTTATACTATTATAAATTTCACTAACACAACAAAATATTTTATATTTTTAAAATCTATATAACAATTTAGATAAAAATATCTCTGCACGTACGTGTGAATTTAGATCTAATACACTAAAATATATATCATAGAAACAACGAAATAATCTATATTGAATTAAAATTTGTTAAAACTTTTTAAAAAATATGAAACCCCGCACGTATGTGCGGGTCATGATCTAGTTTCTTGTTATAAATGGATATAAGAGAGATATTAAAGTGAGATAATCTCGGAGAATGAATGCAGGCACCATTCAATGATTGAGAGGAATATATGTTGTTGCTAAAACTGGAAAACGATTCTGGAGAGTGATTATCGGGTACCATTCAAGGTAGTTTGAGAGTAAATCAAACTGATGAGATATTCTTGCGAAAGATATTTGGTAATTTAGATAGGATTAGGTTTAATAGCAATGTAAATTAAATGCAAATCTAGATATTAAAATGATTTGGAGGTTTTATTAGTTTCCATTTGATAAATTTTTGTCATATATGGTTAAACGAATTGTTTAAAATGGTATATACGCTTTGGATTAGGATTAGTTTTTGGTTAGTTGATTTAATTTCGAAGATATCACCGAGATTATGGTGATTAAGAGTTTTAATTACGAATATTTGACTTCCATTTGTTAGGATTGGATATCTCGTAAACGAAAAATTAGGAATTGTTAGATAAGTTTATTAATTGTTTTGTAAATTTCATTAAGACAAATATTTTGTCAGATTTTATTTGTAGGGACTAAATGTACAATATTGAAATTGTAAAAGGATTTTTGAGGCCAAATCTTCACCAAAAATGTATATATAGATTATCAAAAATAACTTTTTTCTAAACATAATGATTTTTTTTTTAAGATTTTAGATAATGATTATTCTAAACAAAATAATTTTTTTTTTTAATTAAGAGCATCAGTCTCTACTTCATCTTGTGTGAAAGGCTTTAAAGTCCTCATCCAATTCCATTGGTAGAAATTTGTCATCAAGACGAGCATGATAAACGTTACAAAACGTTATGGCCTTGTACTTAGAAGTTCTATGACGAGAAATTTGTCTTCAAGACGACTAATCCGCAAGTGTACTCAGAAGTGTTGTGGCCTTGTTGAGTTTGCTTCTGCTAACGAAGCAAAGAAGGCGTTGGAAAAGAAGAATGGTGAATATTTCCATGATTATAACATGTTTTTTAAAGTGGATCAAAACGCTCCATATTCTACACGACCCAAGTTTTGCATATATCACAAAGTTTGGTACAAAGAGAACCTTCGACGAGAAAGCCTTACTATAGAAGAAGATGAGACACCTCCCGATTTTGTTTAGGAATTTATCTTTGTTGCCAATGTCTCTCCCCAAACTAAAATATTACATATCAAAGATTTCTTCAAAGATGTTGGAGAAGCTGTTTCTCTCGGGTTACCGCTGATATCCTCTTGCACTAGATCTTGAGGTTTTGCTTGAGATTAGGATAAGGGACACAAGACAGATGCTGATGAGAAGAGAGTAAGCCTCTTATATGCTTATTTGTTTTGTATCTCTTTTTTCGATCTTTAGTTCTTCCATGGTTGATGATTCCTCTGCAAGTGGTTTATGTGATAAAAGCCAGAAATATACCAAAAGTCCCTACACAATTCATTTCGGAAGTGACACTCTTCATTTTACTAGCTGGAGAAAAACTGTTTTCGATAGAGCTTGATGTAAATGGTAAAGGATGGTATCAGATAGAGATAATGTCAGCTCATTTCTTGTCGCTCCTCGGATATCCTTGTGTGGAGCTAAGGCAGAAGTACTTTGCTTGTCATTCTTCTGAAGCAGTGCTAAAACATCTCAATGTTTCATCATGATTTCTGAATTTGAAGATATTTCAGTTGTATCTTTTGTTCAATACACGAAATGGAGATGAAAGGGAAGATTTCCTAATCAGATGATTTGCCCTCTTAATACAAAGAAAGTAGCTTTGACCTAAACAAGATTCAGAGAAAGCTAGGAACAAACATTTGGAAACAACTCCGCTCAAAACCAAACATTGACGCGATACTACCATCGTCAAGCTTGAACACCTTAACCTCTACTTCCTTTTCGTCGATAAAGTATATAGAATTTGGTACACATCCATAGTACTCACGAGCCAAAACCGAGAAACAAGTATCCGTAGCCATCACAACCGCACTATCTCCCAATGACTTAACTTCCACCCATTTCCCCAATTCCTCATCCACCTTATAAACCTTGAACCCAACCGTTTTGGGACATTCTCTTTCCACCACTTTGCATTTTTCATTCCCAACATCGTCATGTATCACATTAGTAATCCGAGGAACGACACCAACATACGCATTATCATCATCCAAGGATTCAGCTTTTCTTTTCAAAACATTCTCTTCAAGAAGACGATCAACAATATAAAGCTCTCCACAACATTCCACCAAGCTTAAGTCTCTACCACATTCATTAGTAAGTGAAGTTCCATATCTAAAGATACTAAGAGAGTAAGAACTAATCCACCAAACAATCCCTTGCGAATCCAACGCGTAAATTAGCCCTTTAAGAACCATAATATCAACGAATTCACCAATCTGATCTTTGATTCTAGTCCAAATTTCTCCATTCCAATACCTAACCTTCCCATCAAACCCAATTCCAAAAACTCGATCTTTTCCTGCAAGAACCAATTTCTTAAACCCAAAAGCTGCTTCGTTACTACGAGAGTAATGAACAAGAAACCCTTGACGAATCTCACTGAGAGTGAATTTAAAAAGATCAAAACTTTGACACCAATGATGCAAAGGGAGGCGTGAGAGAGGGTGAAGAAGATGGAGAGTGCCGAGATTGATGTCCACGTCGGATTTTATAAGCCATCCTTGAGTAGAGGAGGAGGAGAGAGTGACGCGGAAGAAGGAGGCGCGTGAGAGGAACGCGTAGAGGTTGAGGTTGTTGATCTGTTGGAGTCCTCCGTTGGTGTAGACAGAGATAACGAGGGGTTTAAGTTTGATGATGAGAGGGTTGGTTGAGAGAGGAGTGTCGGTGGTAGAGACGGAGGAGCGCCATGTTTTGCAGATGCTACGGAATCGTTTGAGTTCTATGGCGGAGAATGAACGGACGGCGATCATACGGAGGAGCTCCTCCGGTAATTTAGTCCAATCAACCATTTTCGCCTAGGTGTTGTTCTTAACGTTTAGCTCTTGATCGTTAATTAAAAGGTAGGCAAA